GACAACTATTCCTTAAGGAAAGGCGCTTTCCACTATGGGTTATTAATACTTAATATAAGACAGGTCTCAGCATCTAATCAGACAAAGAAAACTCAAGTTGGTTCATGACAAACTGTTCATGTAAACCGTAAATTAGAAGTTAGCAGTAAGTATTCACAAACTGTTTGATCATCACTATGTCAGACGATTGCCTACTGAAAGGGAAACTTTCTTCAATAATACCAGCAAAATATCCCATTATGCAGAAGAGCCAACTGTAACACGCACTGTTACTCGACAAATTCTTATAGATGCCATAATATAAATAATGTCTGTAGAATATTCCTTTACTGAGATTACATCTTGTTGCACGAGTATCCGAATACTGAGTAAGTGAGATTGTTCTTGCGTATTTACGCAGAAAACTGAAAAATGCACAACCTAAACGAATAAGTTGATTAATCAGTTGACTGACCAGAACAGAAGTTTCGGCTTGTCTCTCATGAGCTTTCTTCAGGATGGTCTGGGTTGGTTGTGGCGTCTTGCGTTAAAGGTGTGTATGTGTCAGATTTGCTGCTAGTTAAATTGTTTTTGGGTCAAGGGCTTCATAACGCATGTCCAATCCGCGTAGAGTTCGTATTCTTTGTTCCGGTTGATATCTTTGCACAATTAGATAATTATCGCTTCATTTATTAGTTGGATCAGCCAATACCTTATTTGTCTTAGTACGTCAGCGCAATCTAATCAGTGGAGGACGGGACCTTGCTCTGTTGCGTGCTGAATGCAGAAATCAACTCGGACTATCCTCAAAAAGGTCCCTGAGAGACGAGCCGAAACGTCAGTACCAGTTAATAACTCGATTAACCAACATATTCGTTGCAAATAAACAAACAAACAAATAAACAAATAAATCATTTTCATGCATTTTTCAGCGCCCGAACAAATTGCTCGATCGTGCAACATGCAGCAGAAAAGGTCATGTTCCCCCAATGGTTAGATTACAAAGGCATCGTTGAAAAAAGAAGCCGGCAAGAAGTTCTAATCATCCAATCTTGCGAAAATGTCTGTCTTACAAACAAAACGACAGAAACTGAACTGCCTTGTTAAATTTACAAATGTCGCTCATTCAGAGTTTTTTTTTGAATCTTCCGATCAATCATCACATAGCCATCTGCCACCATATGGACGGGAATTATTCAGCGACTGTGAAAGCGAGCTCTGCATTCTCCTGTGCGCATACGCACAAAGGGTGTCTTTCTACTATACAGATTTGTCTAGCAGACACAATGTAGCTCATCAACCCGAGAACACTCTCGTCTTTCTTACCTGACCGTTTGTATGCAATGTTTTATATGACTCAGAAAGAGGCAACGACTCGTAATTATTACTGGTATATGAACTTTTATTTATATCGTGATCTGCCTAAACGGCTCCCTACGCTTCCAGAAGCAAGGGGGCGGAAGAATATTGCGGTACTACCTAGTGCAAAGTTTTAATCCGTTTTACACCGCCGCAGTATCGGAGAAAAGTAAAAAGTGAGTTATTTGTGACAAAATATACACTGGGGGAGCATTCGAGAGTGTCGCTGAATAAATCACATTAAAATTAACATCAGACTGCAACGGCGAAAATACAGTGTAAAGAAAGAAAAATCTATTTCTCACTTTACATCAGCAGCTCTACTGCACTGCCCTTGCTACTAGGCGACCAGAGGGACCATTTAAGCAGGTCAGTCTCCGTAGAATTTAAGCGCTCGTAGTGCTCAGGACGCAGGAGCGCGTCTCAAACTTGGGTAGAACTAAAGTACATTCAATGAAAGAAAATAGCGAAGATCCGTAGGCAAACGAGTGAGAAACTACAACTCCAATATTTTGGGAGAGCTTCTGATACAGCGATAATGGTTTCTCTAGGCGTCTAGAAGAATGGGAGCGGTGCAACAGAGCCACTGGTGTAAATGAGAAAGATTTTTTTCTTTAGACTGTGCATTTTCGCCGTTTCAATGCGGTATCATTATTTTAAATGGCATTTATTTAGCGGTGGAATTGAAAGTTCTTATAGAAAATTAGGGTTCGATTTTGTCACTCTTCCGCATACGAAACCAAAAGACCTTTAAATGCTTCACTGGTATATGACATCCATTATTTCTGTGGAAGGTCGCACTTGCGAAGGACGCAACAGAAAACTTTCATTTAAGACGTACACGCGCCTGGAAATTCAGTTATATGGACAAAAAGAAACGGTAAAAAAGTAAGAAGGATTGTACGATGGACTAAAATCATGAGTAAATTGGTCGAAATGTACATCAATAGAAAAGCATGGCATACGCACTTTCCACACACTACCCTTTGAGGAGAGATCAAAAGCGAGGCCGAAAGTAAGATTTTCTCATTCCACATATAAATAATTATGCCTTATCCCCAAATATTTCAAAGAATCAACTACGAAAGGCCCTAGACGTTTATAATCGAAGGTTTACGACAAGCCTTCAACGGTAAACAGAATATACATCAGTCCTCTTGCAAGCAACAATAACCACGCCACTAGAAGAGTCGTATGAAAGCAGATCATTCCAAGGCCAGATATGAAATCTTCATGATGTGCAGGTTCGTCAGGTTTCACTCAATTAGTTCCAGAAGCCAAATGTTCCCAACTGCAAAACAACGAAAAATATTACAAAACACCACACGAACGACCGCGTATCAAAAGGAAGCATCGGAGCTCACCTTAATTTCTTTACATATCACCAGCCAAACACGTTGTTGCATAGTTTTCTAACCCAGCTTTCGTCCTCGGCCAATTTCCGACCCTGAATTCGATATGAAGAATTAAGGAAATAAAAACAAAAATGTTACAACATATTTACATGCAGATGCGCAGAGCGACACTGCATGTGATGATAGCACAGGATATCAAAAGGCGGCTCTTATTAGTAAATTTAATTAAAAATAAGCAGTTTTGCTTTTATGCATATCTGCTGGCTGAACTCTAATAGTTCCTGTGCAATCATGTTGTTGTTATGCAAATACAGTATCAAATCATAGAGACCTGATTTACTTAACAGGTTTCGAAAGCTTCATAAGCATGGGAAGTACAACAGGCCGTTTTAATCTGATCAATCAACACGGATAAAAATTACAGTAGAGATTTAAATTATTCCTGAAATCCACCTAAAAGCCTAATAGCGATAAAGTAATGCTGTAATGCCATTAATGAATCCTGAACAGAAGCACAAGGCAACAAGCAAGATGGTCACCACGTACCTGCCATTTTTCAGAGGCCTAGTCCTCGTAAGTTAAAAACGGGAAAGACGACTTTCCGTACAAAAGAAGGCAGAAGACACAAAAAGTCTAAAGAACCTGATCCAGAACAGCTAATTTGTCATCGAATATTAACAATCCAAATTGTACCTTAAGGATCAAGTCAAATTAACGGATAAATTTGGCATCATATTCGCTTTTTCTTGATGGAACTTTCAAGATCAACACAAGTAATACGACATAACATTATCGATTCATGGTTCATTGTTGAAACCATAGGTCGTTGTCCGATTCATGATTGAGAACACCATGCAACATAGACGTTAAAAGTCCATCGTGTCCTAATGATGCTACTCTGTTAGTAGCGAAACTCTTAGGCAATAAGCAGCTAACAGCTCGATATTTTGGTGTCCTCAGTCATGAATTGAAAAACAAATAAACAAAGAACAATCTTAACACCATTAGACACGGGAGGTTGAACAGAGACTTAACGGTCAGTGCAGATTTTTCGATCAAATATCATGAACTGTTTAGAAGTTTACATTAGAAGGAACAGCGAGAGAAGCCCAGTGGCTGGAACGGCCAATTAGTCCATGAATATTTAAATATACTTGTGTCGTCGTTAGTACTGGAACCTGCAACACTCAAGATCCAAAATGGCACCTTTTCATGGTAGCTGACTACCGTCATCGCAATCTGATCATCTAAGAAATAAATGCTGAAAATACAAGATATACCTATTTGAAAATAATCTGTCGATCTGTGAATACATCTTTTCTAGCAATATCAGACCTAAGAAATGCAACAGAGCTTGAGAACTTCGTAAGCATCTATTGTGAAGCTGAACAACAACCGAAATGACTGTAACAGAACAGCACATAAAGTGCTTAATATTGTAGAAATACAGATTTTGCCATGCAAATATGGATCTGTTACGAAATATTAACTTTCACTACTGCCGAATGAAATAAGAAATACATAACATTTCTGCTGGTTAATGTGGCACGATCTCTATAATTAAGCCGCTTTTTAAGCACCCTCCACATTTTTATCGTTGTTATCTTCATTATCATCCAAGGCACGGATGCACAGCCACATCACTGCGCCAAACCAAATTTTCCAGATCCACAAACTAAAGGGAACGCTACGATTGTACGGTGTTATCCCATAGAAAAAAACGGTTGTGCTTTGCAGCAATATTTTAATGTGGCGAACGGATAATCTTTCTCTAGTAACTGTATTCTGATTTTTGAAAGTGTAAACACATGAGATGTTTGCGTTATTTTTCTCCGTTTTTGGTGCTAACCAACTTTTTTCATGGTGCAATTTTTAGACACTGAATTCGAATGAATTCTAAAATCAGAAATTTTCTCCGTTCGACGCTGAGATCAAACGCGACGAACTGTTTTAACAGAGGACCGATATTTTAAACAACATGCGCATAATCTATCATCAAGAAAAATGACTAGAATTTTTTCGTGGAATTCGAAACATCCACCAACAAAGGAATTCTTTTAACTTATCCTACTCCTAGAACGAACGAAATTTTTTTTAAATATTGTCAGTTATTTTTTAAGAGAAACTTCAACTTTGGGTGCACAACTGATCAATGAAATATTTGCTTGACTCATGATTAGACACTTAACTACGAATGTAATCGTTATTTCAAGCAAACTCTTGTCAATTTTGTGGATTCAAACGAGGTAACGGCATAGTGCTCCAGCTTGTAGCAGCCCAGAGAACCGCCTGAGCAGGTTATTGGTTTTGGCCTCTCTTACGCAACAGTCCAAAAATGGCTGAAGATGAATATCGCAGTAAGAAAGCAGCAGATACTTTGGAAAATGTACATGAATATCTTCGCATATGTAAAATGATCAAAATAATCTTTAGTTAATATCTGGATAATAAGAGCTAACATGTTCCTTGCAATCTTTAGATGTGCAGTCCTGAAGTATGAATTTACGATGTAACTGTCAAAATCATCATCAGACTTTCTCGATTCATTGCTTAATTAAGATCTCTCGAAAAATTTGCCATAGAACACTGTTTTCTGACATCTTCATCCATATTGATCTTGTGAAATTCATCAGCTCATCTTGCTACTGATCTGGAGGTTTTCTTAGGGGAAGTTTACTCTCTGTTGGAACCCAGCCAATTGTCTCACTGGTCCTGCGATGGATGGTTCTTCTTTCAACGTACCTTGCCTCATGCTAGGTAAACTGCTTCACTCGCAGACTCTTGTATGTGCTCTGATTCGATCATCTGTCTTCCTAATTTTTCTTGTTATTCCCAAAACACATGTAACTGTCAGAATAGAAAAAAGAATACCACTATGAGATTATTCGAGTGAGTTATCCTAGTCTACGGTATTATGAACCTTTCATTGTGCAGATACAAAAGCAAAACTTAAGATGTTATTAACTACGTCAATGCAAACATGAGAACCTACCTCAGCTGCAGGCGTTCCGGCCGAATAAGAGGCACTTAAGGAACGCATTTTCGCTTTGGAATTTGTGAAGCTTCTTGAATTAATGTTCTGCATGGCACAGGAGTCCTCAGAAACGTACGATGATTGGTTATCGCCTTCATCGATTCGTCTAGAGGCAAGGGAAGAAACGGAAGTGGCCGCTGGACTCGGAAACTGCTGTATTTTAGAAGCGCCAGTATTTTTCGTCACGTAAAATTTCCGTAATATAACCTAAACAATACAACAGCATAAAAAACATAAGCAAAAAAGCATATAAACTACCTGTGATAAAAATAACATTAATAGCAAGTTTAGGCATTCTTCCAGAAAGAACACTTACTTTCCGTAGGAAACGATACTGCATTCTGTGTGTCAGGAGTCAAACGAAAACAAATCGCGAGGCGATGTAAGGGTGGCACCCAGGATAGGAAAAACATCATTAGCGCCAGGAGGAACACATAACAGGAGAAAAAGTGACAAAAACGGGGAAATTTTGCATTAGAGTATTACATGTGAAGAGAAAATGTTACAATTCGTTTCTGAACATCAAGATAAAGAGAAACTTCATGAAAAAATTTGACACGTTTTGTCTCTTGCTTCACATATCCATGTTCTATACAACTTTCGATCATATTTTACTAACATTATCATCAAGGTGCGTAGAAAATGACATCTTATTGCAATGGCCAATCGGCATGAAAAAGTGAAATCCAAAATCTGTCATGCATAGGCTGCATTTATCAAGTTACCTCCTTTACCAAGTTACTTAACCTACCACCTCAACAAGACAGAGCGGCATATCATTACCTTTCAACATTTATTTTCACTCTTCGATCGCAACAATGCTTTCATTATTCACTTGCCAATGATTGTTATTTGTGACTAAATCATATCCTCTGTACATTATTAACTTGAGATGATGATGGAACGCCACTGAGTCTTCCAAAAGCTTTACGACACTTAAATATGTTTTTCAGGTTTGTAACAGTCGCAATCGTTATTTATTATGAATAAGAACCTGCTTATATTTTTTCAAACTGACTGTGCTTCAATATAAAAGGACCTTAAATTATCATTAAAATTGCGCTCGTTTTGCTACACATAATGAATAACAAGAAAAGGGCGAACAGTAGTTGCTAAATGGGACACACAAGCTTACCTGGTCGGAACAAGGCGAGACTCCTATTTTCAGGTTACCAAACAATTTGCCGTTCTTTGACAGCGCTCGCCTAGCTTGCATCCTCGTTTCATATAAAATGTGCATCCAATTGCCATTACTGGCTGTCTACAAGACGAAAACATTAAATCATATACGGCAAAAATAAATTTAACATAATGAAGCACATAACTTCTAAATTTTATCAAAAGCAATAGCAAAATATATGAACACAAAACTTTCGAAAGAATGAAATATACCTCATAATTAACTATGGTCCCGTACTGACCAAATTCTTGCAAAATATAGTCGAAGGACTGCGGCGGAAAACCGAACACTGTCACGCAGGTTTCGGCAGTCAAATCTTTATGCCTGAAAATATCCAACAAAATTCTACAGACCGCAAATAAGGAAGAACTATGTGCATTTTCTCTGGATGATTCCGAGAGGAGCGTCAATGACATGTAGATTGTCCTGCATCCGCCAAAGCTACAGAAAATCAAGGGGAAAATAGTTTCCGCAAAATACTCTTACCATTTACTTTGAGTACCATGATAGTGCGGCGGATATAAGCGCCGCGTCATAAGCTACACGAAGAGAGGTTCTAGAAACGCCTATCATGGTAGTATATGGGCTAACGACAGTTCAGTGGCTAGAAACCGTGCTTTCTTTATGCCATTCTCTATACATGCTTATAATATGACAGGTCCATCGAGAGTGGTCAAATCACCTCTTCGATGGGTGCGGTATTAGGATTCGAGCACTGCTGAAAATTACGTATGTTAGCACAAAAAAGGGTAAAATGAAAAGATATACTGTCTGGGAGAACTGAAATTATCAGCCTTTCCAACAAATGAAATACAGAAAAGAAAAACAGAATTTCATTTACAAATAACAAGGAAAAATGGGACGACGACAGTTAACGCCGAATTTCCCATTTTTACCATCTAAGCGATGGGAAGGACGCTAGATTTTCTCCATTTACTGATTTCATTCATCAACAATATTAAGATTCTTTCGAACTGAGGGCATTAGGCGCCATCCTCAATTCAGAGTTAGCGGAGGGTAAAAAGATTTTACCGCGTTTTCCCTAATGAAAAATTCCAATAATGCCGCCTCCCAATTCACAGAGCAGTGCTAATTTGAACAACGTTAAATGTTGGATTCAAGGTCGACGCGCTGCGCAAAAATTATCCCATTAAAATTTCTAATTGTCAATTCCTTTGAGCAGGGAACAAACTAACCCTACAGTATTTTGGTAACTCCAGCCGGCAAACAGGTAACAAGTTTTTGACCTGGGAATATCAGGGGAGCATGATGCTTTGATGCAGTAATGCTAGAGCGTACGAACATATGACCATACGATAATTGCAGTCTATGACTACAATTCCCCTTGACCCGGCGTGGCATACTGGCACAGTGCAAAACAGGTCCGCTTCAAACTCTGGAGATGCCAGTTCAATTTCTCTCGAGGGAATTCGTTGCCCTATTAACAAATTCCCTTGAACAAAGAATTTACCGCACACTGCTTCAGACCGGGATTGCTCAGTCGAAAGGACGTCCACCTCAGAAATGACATGTTCTAAGTTTAAGCCTCGATCAGGGTCACTCACCCTTCGTCCTTACAAGGTTCATAAATCGGTACCACTCTGTTGGAAGGAAAAAGATTACTACAGGTTACGTTTGCCATATGGGTAGAGATTTTGCCTTTAAAATAAGGCACTCTCGTCCGATGGCATAGAAACGGAAATCCGCACCGCACCGTCAATTTCATGAAAAGAAGAACACAAAAATGACCCAATCATGAAAAAGAGGGAAGACAGACACGGTGATAAACTTTCCTTTCGCCTTGAGCCACATGATATCTTACTAATAATCACCACAAGGTGTAACCCGAAAAGAAAAACAATCCTTTCGTTCAGGTTTGTAAAAGGAGCGGCCTTTATCTAAACAAGTCTGTTATAATTATTATTCGCCTCGCTAAGAAAGACCATCTGACAGTTTTTTGCGGCTCTTGGCGGACAAAAGAAAAACGCCATAACGTACTTCAGCATATGCTGTGATACCTGACGTTGTTCTTTCCGCATTCTTCACGACTCTAGCACATAGGTTGCAAACTATAACTCTTCATACTCAAAATTCATGCTCTGTATTCAATGAAATATGCTTAATACTACCACGCTTCGAAGACACGATATGAAAAATCGACAGTACTGTGGCAAGA